AAAAAAAAAAAAAAAAAAACCTTATACATTTTATACTTGCAAAAATGTATAACAAAAAATTATCACTGTGTTCATATTTTCCATTACACACAAAAAAATAAAAAAAATAACATCGAAGTATGCATACACATGCGCGTTGTCCAATTCAAGGACTATAGGAAGGGAAATCATAACTCCCACTTACACGTAAGCATTGGGGCGAATTTCTAAAAGATCCAAGTTATAAATGAACGTAAAATAAATTATTTTCATTGGGGTGAGGGAATAGTAAAATATTTCCCCAACTGTGCTGCAAAAAAGGGTAATTTCCCAAGTGAGGGGTTTGTCATAATTCACATGTTGGTCTTTTTTTTTTTCTCTAAGTGGCCTTTTTCGCCTTGGGGTCATTGGTCGTTTTATCCGCACTTCCTGTATGGGGGGGGTGGGGAGTTGAAGAGAGAGGGAATTTGAGAAGACATATTCACAAAGGGGGGTAGCTTGATCTGTACACATGTACTTATTTACACAAACACACAATTGCATGCACCCAGTTGTCTACACCCATTCGTACTGCTAAGCTTGAGCGGGAAGGTCTCGTCGGCTCCTTCGCTGGAGCCCCACACCAAAAAAAGGGAATTTAATGCTTCTATCCTCTTTAAGTTGTCATTTTTGCTTAATCGGTACATTATGCTCTGCAAGGATTTTTGGAGAGGGACACAATATGTAGGCATGCGTTGTTCGAAACGGACAAGCATCACGGAGTGCATATGATTAACCAAAAGCACATGCATGCATGTGCAATTTTTAAGACCACGAGAGGTGCGCTTCCTGGACAGCGACCAAATAACCTTACGTTTTTATTATCCGTGACTTTCAAAATAATTCCCTCGCTCGGCCTATGCAACTTTATCACGTATCTTGTCTACAAAAGGGGAAGAAGTTAATACGTTAGTTGCAGTGTGCGTGTCGTTGCTAACTTCGTGTAGCAGCTGCGTTTGCACGGTGCGCCACTTTCCCTTGCGCATCATCACATTGTTGCACTTTCATTCCGCTGGGTATACCTTATCTGGCGATTTCGAAATGATGTCCCTTGACGCCTGCATGAAATCCCCCCACGATATCGCATACACCACTGTGTTGTAAAAAAAAGGAAAAATATTCACATCATGTGCATAGGATAAAAGAAGCAACAGTCAACACAGTTACCATGTAAATATGTACATATGCGTATCCATGTTGATGAAACTGTGTCAATGTCGGTTTAATCACTCAAATGGCATAAGTACATATTCATATGTGACCATGGGTGGTGGTCTGAATTTTTTCCACCATTCGCTTTAATCGAACAGGACATTGCTGCTCCACCACCACACTTTACACTCGTAGGTACACTCGTATGCATACATAGTCGTATGCGCTTCGTTCCTCTCGGGCATTACTTTTTCTTTTCTCACTGTGGTCTCCTGCACGTTATTATTAAACAGTTTTGGTTTCTCCTCGGCGGATAAATCCCACTGCTCAATTGGAAGCTTGTTAGGAAGTATCCCCTAGTCAGCAACTACGCACCGCGCGTACGTATGAAATATGTGACTCCTTGGTTGAGAAAGTCGCAAAGGCGTATGCTAAACTCAAGTTTAGAAAAAGGGAAACTCTTCTATTTTCCTTAAAGTTGGAATTTTTCTACCCATTCGAGAAGCAACGCCTTTTAAAAAAAAAAAATATACATATATATATATATATATATATATAT